ACAATGACAGGCTTATATATGAGGGCAGTGCAGACGCTCCATGGTATGAATTAACCCCTTTCATTAGTTTACAGTGGTCTGAACAAGGAACAATGGTTGTTGACTGGATGTTATGCGTTACCATGCACTGCCATACCATGTCATATGCAGACTTTCTGCATTTTTTTATTAGACTACTTCTGCATTAACAATAGCTCTAATATTATTAGAGATTCCAATTATTCAGCAGATAAAAAAGTAATGAAGAGCAGTTGAATTCTGAATACACAGTAAGCGTAATCTTGCTACAATAAAAAAATAAAAATAAAGATGACCAGTTGGAAATTTAGAGGCAAAGAAAACAAATAGCTTGCTTAGACTCAGACTTGTAATGAATGAAATATCTAAATTGTAATGGTGAGAAAAGGCATATTATTTGTGATGTGAAAACAAGGCCGTCACTATTAATTCTAATTTAACAATAAAAAATGAATCTACCCTTACTGGAATAAATTCAAGCCCAATGTGCCAGGTTCAGCGGGACAGTTCTCGTAATTGGGACACTGTCCCGCAAGGTCCATGTCCCTTGGCCTGTCCTGCATGATCTCAGACAGCAAGTGGTAAATTCAAAGGAAGACTGATGCCTGCCTAGTATATTAGTGTCCACTTCTTCCCAGCCAGAGTATGGCTGCACTCAGGGCTGCCATTAGGAACTATGGGGCCCTATATAGACTACCAGGCAGGGCCCCCCTTCCCCCTTGGTTACCCAGAGAGGAATGAGGCAGCAAATTGTGGTCGTGGCAAATGCATACAACAGAATGCACCAGCTCATTGTGTGATGGCATGGCCACTTGTATTTCAACTCAGGAGTAAGCAGGGTAAGGTGACAATGCTGCAGCTGAACTGAGTAAGCATTGGTGACCTTCGGGCAAGTAGGGCTAAAAATACAGTAGGGAAGCCGCCTCTTGTTTAGTACAAGTGATCTCGGCGATCACTTGTAGGCAGCCTGCAGGTCAGTGGTGTATTTTGGTTTTGTGCTGCCCTAGGCAAGACTAAACTCGGGCACCCACCCCATATCTAAATTTGCCCCACCCCATCCTGTATAGGACATTTTGCACAACCTGTAAGTCACTGGATACAGCGCACAGGTGGTCTCAGGAGAGCTGTGCATGGTCTCAGGTGGGCTGTATGGGGTCTCAAGAGAGCTGTGCAGGGTTTATGGTGGGCTGTGTGGGGTCTATGGTGGCTGTGCAGGGCCTCAGGAGAGCTGTGTGGGGTCTATGGTGGGCTGTGCAGGGTCTCAGGAGGACTGTACAGAGTTCCTTTCCCTGATGCATGTGCTGCTTCTCTTACCTGCAGCTCTAAGTGCCATCAGTACCAACAGGATACATTGCAGTCCCTAGCCTGCTTCTGGGACATCCCACCATCAGATCACATGCTTTGGCTAGCCCCGAGCCACCCACTGCTTCTCCTCCACCTCCTGTACAAAGCCAGCTGGACTGCATCTCACTGGGCCCTCCCCTCCAATGGGCAGCTCTCTAATTAGGCAGCCGCCCTTAGGGTCTTGCGGCCGCCTAGGTTGCCTCATTAGGCAGCCGCCGCTGCCTGATTCTGTGCTGCCCAGCCTCCGCCCACTGGGCAAGTACCCAGTATGCCCAAAGGCAAGTCCGGTCCTATCCGCCTCAATGGTTTTGGGTGGCATTTTCTGCCACACCCCTGGAAAGTGCCGCCCTAGGCAAATGCCTAGTTTGCCTTGCGGTAGATACACCCCTGCTGCAGGTCCCCCCACCCCAGCCACCTCTCTTCCTGCCGGCTGCCTCTCTGTCCGCTGGCTGCACGCCTCCCCGCTCTTCTGGGCTATCCTGGACCATGGCAAAGTAGTTCAGGATGAAGAATGGGGAGCAGAGAAGAGGAGCGGAGAAGTGATAAAAAAGTTAAAAAAATATGAAAATCAATAAAAATTATACAAAAAAGTGAAAGAT